AGGAGGTGGGCAGGTTCCAGCAGGGTGGTGTGCTGCAGCCCATCCCGTGGGGTCTGGCTCAATCCACACTCCCAGAAACTCCCCGGACCCGCCGAGCATGGCCAGCTTTGCAAGTCTTGGCTGGGAGTCTGCCCCTTGCCCCTTCCCTGCCACTTCTCCTCCAGCCCTACAGTGCTCTTCCATCCCTCCGTTACTCCTCTGCCTGGGAGTAGACCAAATCCAATTTGTTCCCTCTGCTGCTTTGCTGTGTCCAGCCTCAGTTTTGCCCCGAGACCTTCCCGTCTGCCCTGTCCTGCCCGCGGCTCCAGGCTCCCTATGGCATCCCCAGTTTGGGTTTATAACACATCGTCTCCCACCAGTGACCTGGGTACACCCTCCCTGGCACACGCATGACCACTGGAAGTCATAACTGGATTTCAGTCCCTCATGGGGGGGTTGACAGATCCCTGTCTTCCAAAAATGCTGGTTGCAGCAGCTGGTAGGGAGCCGTGTGCCCAGCAGCAATAGTACCTAATAAACAGCAGTGGGACAGGGAACACGGGCAGGAGCAACACCACGAGCTGTGGAGCGAGCGCTTTGCTGAGCTCTGCTTGGCCTCCTCCTGACCTGTTGGGGAGACCTGGCAAGCGGAGGTGATTTATGGAACGCCAGTGGAAGGAGGCATCACCATCCATCAGGAAAAGCTTTTTCACCAGGAGGTCGGCAGAGCAGGTGGTGGGATCTCCGTCCTTGGTGGTGCTCAAGGCTCAGCTGCACAAAGCCACAGTGATGTGACCTAGTGCAGACCGGTCCTGCTTACAGCAGCAGGCTGGGCCACAGATCTCCAGCACCTCTTCCCACCAACACTCCTGCTGGGTCCTGAAGAGGACAGGGTGGAGCCTTTTTTTCCCCTCCTAGCTTCCTTTGCTCTTGGTATATTTGGTGGGATAAAGGATTCCTCCTGACACAGATGATGACTGGGGAGTGGGGCAAAGGTCCGATGTCTTCTAGTTACTCCTGAGAAAGCCAAGTGTAGAGAAAGTCCTTGCTACCCAGAGGACCACAATGCTCCTCCACTAGGCCCCTGGCTTCAACCTCACCTTGGCACAACAGTTCCTTCTCCTCATCTTCCCTTCTTCATAGATCATAGAATGGTTTGGGTTGGAAGGGACCTCAAAGATCCTCCAGTTCCAACCCCCCTGCCATGGGCAGGGACACCCTCCACTACACCAGGTTGCCCAAAGCCTCATCCAACCTGGTCTTGAACATTTCCAGGGATGGGGCAGCCACAGCTTCTCTGAGCAACCTGTGCCAGTGCCTCACCACCCTCAGAGTGAAAAAATTCTTCCTTAGATCTAATTGAAATCTCCCCTCTTTCAGTTTAAAGCCATTGCCCCTTGTCCTGTCACTACACACCCTTGTCCAAAGCCCCTCTCCAACTTTCCTGTAGCCCCTTTAGGTACTGGAAGGTCTCCCTGGAGCCTTCTCTTCTCCAGGCTGAACAGCCCCAACTCTCCCAGCCTGTCTCCATAGCAGAGGTGCTCCAGCCCTCGGATCATCTTCGTGGCCTCCTCTGGACCCGCTCCAACAGGTCCTTCTGATGTTGGGGACCCCAGAGCTGAATGCAGCACTGCAGGGGAGTCTCAGGAGAGCAGAGCAGAGGGGCAGAATCCCCTCCCTCGCCCTGCTGCCCACGCTGCTCTGGGTGCAGCCCAGGACACGGTTGGCTTTCTGGGCTGCCAGCACATGTTGCTGGCTCATGTTGAGGTTCTCATCACCCAACACCCCCAAGTCCTTCTCCTCAGGGCTGCTCTCAATCCATTCTCCACCCAGCCTGTACTTGTCCTTTGTCTTTTAAAAAAACCCCAAACATCAGTCCTGGAGGGAGTTTTGTAGCCAGGTCTTGTACATGAAGGCAGCTCTAGGTGCTACAGCCAAGAGCCAGGGCCCCGACTGACCTTACTCTTCTCAGCAATCGCCCATTGACCGCACCAGGCAGGTAGGACTCACAGATGTCCTCTTTGGAGGCTCTCCACATCCTCCCTAGCAGGGATGGACACCTTGGGGGAGGAAAACCTACTGATGCAAGCTTGGTCATTTGTGGAGTCGGCCCCTAGAGAAGTGTATGTATCTATGGGGTTACGTGAACAGAGCGCGGGCTCGAGGATCTCAATTTTATACCCAAATCCCTGAAACTCTGGATTCAGCCCCTTCCTCTGGATTCAGCCTGACACGAGACAACGTGACCGCAGGCTCCTACCCAGCACAGGACAGACATTACAGCGTATGACATCACTGGAATTAGTGACCGACCCGCGTTGCTACTGGAGTCTCTCCTCTTTCCATTACGCACCATTGTCCCCAGAAACCTTAGGTTTCCTTCCTCCACCATGCCAAGGGTGCAGCAGCGCAGCACCTTCCCCATCCCTCCCGGATTGCAGGGGTGAGCTGGCAGCACTCCCGAGCCTGGCAGGCAGCAGCTGGCTTACTTGCAGAATGGAGTTTCGTAGCTACCTACACCTTTGGTGGGTCCTGGGAGGGATTTTTTTTTGGCGTGTTTATTGGAAAAGAGCGAGCAGTTGTCCTGCATCCATCATTGTGTCCCTGTCCATCATCCAGGGACACCATCCCTGTCCCTGTCCATCACCGTGTCACAATTTTCCCCATTGTTATATCACTTCTTTCCCCCGCTCTCTTTTCCAAGCTTAAAGAGGCCACGGCTCTAGTTGTTGCTCTCACAGAAACCATTCCATAACTTCGGATGTACTTGTCCTCCTCTGAACATTTCCCAGTTCTTCAATCCTTATTCAAATGGTGGACATGAGAAATGTGGTTATCAAAGAAGCACCTGCACTGTCATTTCATACAGGGAGGTAATAACATTCTCCATTTCGCTGTCTAATAATCCCTTTCCTAATAGCTCCTGGCATTTATTTAGTTTTTCTGAAAGACTCTGGAAAACTTGTCTTGGCCCCTGTACATCAGGCACTCCAGAGCCACACAAGCCTGGAGCGAGCCAGGGGCATTCAGAGGCTCCTCTCTGCCCTAATTCACTGGGAAGCGTGGGGAAAAAAAGTAATTTTCAAGCATAGGGATATTTGGTTAATGGCTATTCAGCACAAAAAGACAAAGTAAAAAGCCCCAAAACACAGAATTGTCATAAATTAAGCACAGAAATACACGAGCTCGAAAAAGCAGAAGAGGCTGTAACGAAGATGAGGACTCCTGAGCCACTGAGAGATGGAACCATCACACGAACCACTCAAGCACAACCTTGAAGAGCTTCAGCCAGAAACCTCACAACTGATAAAAAAAAAGCAAAATTATCACGGGCTTTCTGGGAAAGAGCAAATTTATTACGGGATGCTTGAGGGAAATTGGGGGGCTGTGCAATCACGCGATGTTTTAGGGAGGATTATGAGAGCAAAGTTCACTATGGGATGTTCAGGGGAAGGATAGAAGGGGTGGAAAGGGAGGCATCGAGCTAGACGAGGGAGAAGTGAGCGTGGGGAACGGAGAGGAGGAAGAACGAGCAGGCAGTGGTCAGGGAGAGGCTGGCTGCTGGTCAGCGTGCCCGCCTGGCAGAGCCCTGCGCCCGGCTACCAACATCCGTCCTGGCCTCGTACGGAACTAATTCCTAGACTACCATGCTCTAGTCCTGACGGGCCAGGGATTAAGAGCAGGATCAGGCCTTTTTTACCAGTGCCATTTGTGTTTTCCCAGGACTTTTCTCCGGTTTCCACTGACCTGTCTGCGGCTGCTGTGTCCATAGCGTGTGCTCGTGCTTCTGGAGGAGCTTCTGGAGCTCCTGCCCAGCCTCACTACATGCTGAACCTGGTAATATGGGAAAGCAGCAGCCTCACACGGAGCAAACCAGGACAGGAAGGATTTAGATCCTACAGCCCACTGCATTCAGCTGTCCTTAACACGAGACACTGGAATAGCACGGGAATAGCACATCAGGTTCCCCCATGAACCCAAAGCTTGGGAGGAAAACAAATCAAAGCAAAGCCTCATGTGAGCTGGGCCAGCGAGACAATTACAGAAAGAAGAGTTACATATCCAACTCCACGCACTGCAGAGGAACAGAAGCTGGAGAGCACTCCTGGTAGAAAGCTTATTAATGAATTCTATCTAGAAAAAGGTTTGTTCACTGGAGAGCAGTCCCAAAGACGAGAGTATCAACTCACAGTGACAAGGGAAAGGGACCTGAGCTGACATTTAAACAGAAACAGCCCAGACCGCTGCTTGTTACACCCCAAGGGGATGCAACCACATGTAGGTGAACAAAAAGGCAAAAAGAAAGCAGATTGTACAGCTCCAGGAGCAGCAGCAATCTCTGCTGCAGTCCCAGAGGCCAAGTACCAAGAGAAACCGCTGGAGACCAGCACAAGGGTGAAATGGGGACAACCACAGCAGTGAACTGGACCAGCACAGCGACAACAGAGAACCAGGGACCAGCACAGGATCACTGGCCTTGGAGCTCCAGCCCTGCCCTGATGAAGGACTCTAACAGGCACCACACAATACGACCTTCACCCAGGAGCTAGGATTTCAGCTCCCACTGCTTCTTCACAAGCTTCCACGCTGCGGAGCGTAAGAACAGCGACCAGAAACGCCAGAGCATCGGATGGGAGTGGAAGGGGTTTCTCTTGTAGAGGAGTAAGGGGACCAGTAGAATTCTCTGTTCAAGGGAAACGGAGAAGACTTGATCAAGAGTATAAAACTTTTAATGGGTCAGTGCATCAGTCCTTGATGCAGAGGGAAAGGAGGAAACAGGGTTACAGCTGTCCCAGGCGCTCAGTGCCGCAGAGATGATCTGCGCAGAGCAGGAAAGACAAGGTGGTGGTACATAAGTAGCTGCAGAAACCCCGGCCTTCGCTCTCCAAGGAGGGGACCAACACCTGGAAAAGCAGTTCCTCTCACTGTCCATTGGGTTTCACTCTATGTTTCTTCCTGGTAGAGACTTGAGGACGCATCATTTTGGGAGAAGGCCGGCCAGCCTTCAAAGGTCTCCTCTGTGCCTGCAATGAATGCCTCTTCTTCAAAGCAGGCTGTGGTTGCTTCTGCTCTTTGCCAGCTTTTGATCCCTCAAGTTTTTTCTTTTTTGGCTGAGGCTCCATGACAGTATCAGGAACAGCGGACGGAGTTGCTGCTGTCACAGCAGGTTCTTCATCTGAAACAAGAGAGAAAGGTGCTGCAGGAAGAACCCACGTGGCTTCTGCAGGGGAAGCAGCCCTCGAGAGCAGGCCCAGGCAGCTCAGCTGAGCTCCAGCACCAGGTTACCTTTTTGTGCCTGGGGGATGGCATTGGAGAATTTCTTGAACTTGGCAATGAAGAACCCATCCATATTGTGCGTGTGGGGATAGAAGCGTCGCGTAGACTTGAGGGAGGGGTGGAAGCGACGGTCCTTGAACCTGGAGGAGGAAGCGGGGTGAGAAGCGAGTAGAACGCCTCTGCTCAAACCTGGCCACCAAGGAACAGTCACCTGTGCAGCTTGTGACCTGGCACACACCTGGTGAAGCCTTCCTTGCCAAAGTCCAGGCCTGTGGCCACCAAACGAACGTTGCGTTTCTTCAGGGCGTAATCTACAACCCACTCATTCTCCTCCACCTGCCAGAGACTAAGCGTTAGGATCCAAAGCTCACCAGTCCCCTGAGTAGGAGATGACCGCAGCAGAGCATGGAAGGCACTTACCATGATGGAGCAAGTGCAGTAGACAATGTAGCCCCCTGTCTCTGAGGCAGCATTACACGAATCTATAGCGCTAAGGATCAGCTCCTTCTGCAGGTGAGCACAGCGCAGGATGTCTTTCTCATCCTGAAAGAGAAAGATAAGTTGGTATGCTAGGGGCTCAGGGAAGCACTCCAGACCTCTGCTGAGGATGGAGGGACAACAGGAGAGCAAAGCACGCATGATACAGAGGGTTCTGAAGTTGTCTGCAGAATTAACCTCAAAAAGCCTAGCTCTGGTACAACATGCAGAATAGGAAAGAGAAGAGAAAAAAAAAATCAGTGTCCTTATTGCAGGCATCTCTCAAGAATAAAGCTGTCCTGAAGTCCTTCCTCTCGTGGCTCGTACTTGAGTCTCCATCTTGTGTCCCTACTGGTCACTCACCTTGTTGGTTTTGACAGCAGGGTCCTTCGAAATGACGCCTGTTCCGCTACAAGGAGCGTCAAGCAAGACACGGTCGAACCCTCCAAGCACCTACAGGCAGACGTACATTTGGAGTTACGCTCACAGGTGGAGACTCAGAGCAAGAGCAAGGCTAGAAGGGAACCAGAAGAAGGGGAACCTGGAAAGGCAGGAAAGATCCCTCGCTCCTCCCTCTCCACCCTCGTCTCCGTATCAAATAACACACTCCCCAGCAGCTTTGTTTGCCCTCCTGTGACAAGTGGCTTTGGAGATCACAGCTTTACTAAAGGGACAGCACGGCAGCTCTAGGTAAGCACGGCAAGGACATCCCAAAGCAGGCAGGAACACACCTTGGGGAACTGGCGTCCATCGCAGTTACTCACTACAGCGTTGGTGACCCCCAGCCGGTGCAAGTTCCCCACCACGCTACGCAGCCGCTCGGCATTGCTGTCGTTGGCCAAGATCATGCCTGTGTTCTTCATGAGCTGCGCTGCAGGAGGGCAAAAGACATCAGCAAGGGGCTGAAAACCTCCTGGGCTTTGCCCGTAGGGACGGCAACACCCTCCCTTCCCTGAGTTCAGCCCCACTCTGTTCCCTCTTTCTGTATAGACCAGTGGAAACTCATCGCTTCCCAAGGCTCCAGGGTGGTACCTATGTAGCTGGTCTTGCCTCCTGGGGCACAGCACATATCCAGGATGCGTTCATTCTCCTGTGGTGCCAGAGCCATGACTGGGAGGAGACTGGAGGCTCCTTGCAGCATGTAGTGCCCAGCCAGATATTCAGGGGTGGCACCTGGGCAGGGAAGGCAGAAGAAAAGAAGATGACACGTGAAAGAAAGGGACCCAAGAGTGGGTCAGCTCGGCTCTATGACAGGAAGCGTGATCTCACCGATGGGGACAGAGGAGTCATAAATAACAAGTCCCGTTTTCGACCACTTCCCCAAGGGGTCGAGATTCACACCACGGTTGATGAGCGCCTGCAAGACAAGGAGACGGGACTGAGAGACCGCCCGGTGTGACAGGTGGCACAGGAGACCACCAGGGGGTCCCACTCACCTGTGCCAGGTCCCGTCGCCGCGTCTTGAGCGTATTGGTGCGGATGGTCACGGGGCGGGGAACCTCATTGGCCTCCAGGAAGTTTATCAGCTGGATGGAAGAAGGCAGAGAGAACAGAGATAAAAATGAAGACCGAGGGAGGCAGCCAAATCCTCATCAGTCAGCAAAAACAGGGGCAGGGCAGGGTCCTACCTCAGGGAGAGGGAAGATGTCCATGAGCTTCAGGAGCAAGAAGTCACTGTAGGAATAGTAGGCAGCCATGTCCCGGCGCAACAACGCGAGGTACTCCTGTCGCGTGCGCCCTTCCTCCCGCTTCGTTCCAAAGTCCTGCAGCACCTCCATGTTGCCCTTGATGCGTTGGTGAATGATGTGCAGGTCAGGTGGCTCGGCAGGTAGAATGAACGTTAAGGAACCGTCAACAGCCAAGAAAGTCACACACAAGCTCTTCACAAGCACCATCGGTCACACAAGACTTCTGCATCGCAGCAGCACCTGTACCAGAACAGCCTCGTTGGAGTATGCTTTCATCAGCAGGGGAGGGGATTCAAAGGATGGAACTGGAAAAAAAAGGCTTCACAAGGCAGGAACTACGAGGTATTTAAGGGAAGTTGGTTAGTGACTTTAGGTAAACAGAAAAAATCTAGGGGATAAAGAAGACAACAAAAATGTCTTTCAATACTGAAAGTGTTATCTGTGTCAGAAAAGAGACTAAAGTTCCCCAAAGGCAACTACTAAGGGGTAGAGAAGAGAACGAGAAGAGGCACGACACTAAAATCACCAAAGCCCAAGAGCCAGCACTTGAGCTGCGGGAATCGCTGTCACCAGAGGCTCTAGGAAGGGGTTCGACAGACACCTGCCAGAAAAATCAGGGTGCAGAGGGATGAACTACACGATAAGATGCCCACACACATCCAGGACTAGAAAGGAAATCGGGGCAGGCTCTCAGTGCCACGCAGGGCGTAACAGATTTCGTAACTGTGCTGTACAGACGCACAGCGTCGTGCACTATCTATTAGGGCAGCTCATCTAAAAATACCTTGTCATGCACAAAACACTCTTGCTAAGCAATACTTGGATAAAGCCCAAACGAAGCTCTTCAGTTGTATCCAGGCCCTGTGCTGCCGCACACATACGGCTTACGGATGCCACAGATAAAAAGGATATCCTCTCTCTCAATCTGTTCGTTAGTTGGCAGTTTAAATTGTTCGTCTATATCCAGGTTGAGCTGCAGATCTGGGCCCTCTTCTTCCTTCTGTCCTGTTTTCTGCCTGCTTGCCTCCTCTTTCGCTGCCTCCTCCTCTTCCTCTTCGCTGTCATCTTCACTGGTGCCTCCCCTGAGGACAAAGAACAAGGCGGATGTTTTACACGAGAACACTGTCACGCAGGCGCTTGACAACTACCATTTCTTAGATGGCAAAAAGGACAGAAGAACAGACAACACAGGCTCTTCATCTATCCAGGACAGACTCTGCGGACTAGCAACGTTCTCAAACCCTCACCTGTCAGGCTTCTGCTTCAGGGCAGCTTTTTCAATAGGCAGCAACTAAACAGAGACAAGAGATTAATCAAACAATATCCCTGGGTGCTCCCTTACTCCCTGCCACCTGTGACATTTATCTGCTCTGTTTAAAAAAGGACAACAAACAAAAGCACTGAATGTTACGCTGGCATCAGCTGCTAAACTTGGCATTGTTCTTGTAAGGGGAAGAAGGGGAAAGCTCTCTGCAACCTCACCATCCACCCTCCAGTAAGGTTACCCCTTTCCCCCAAGCCTACTGGGTTCTTCCAGCCAGCAAGGCCAAGTATTTCTTGTGTAATTCAGGGCAAAAATCTCCCACCTCTTCTTCTTCTGATGACAAGGCACCATAATCATCCACCATCTCGTCGCTGCTCCCATCCTCCTCCTCCATCTCCCAGCTGCCCTCTTCCACCTCACCATCACTGGATAACTCCACGTTGTTTCCTTTGGATGGGATTTTCTTGGCTTTGGCTGGAGCCAGCCATTTGGAATTGTCATCGCTGAAGCCAGACCGCCCACGAGGGGTCTGTCCCGCTGCCTTCACGGCACGCTCCTCCTTCTGTGGGGGCACCTGCTCTTTAGCTACAGGCAGAAGAAGCGGTTATAAGTTAGGTGTTCATTCCCAAAAGAAGCTCCCCTGTTTTTTCAGTTGTTATATGAAAGAGATCTTCATCCCAGCCCTGAGCTGCCTGTCCCAAGGGAAAGGACTGACTGCTCTGCACATCCATTTTCCCAATCAGAAACAGAGGCGTGTTCCCAGCCCTCCTCCAGCGAAATTTGAAGAGCTCTGACTAGACCTAGCAACGGAAAACACAGCTACAAAATTCTCCTGGTGTTTGCCGTGACGCGTTAGGGTACCCTGCTTCCCAAATCTGTGCCTGTCCTTCTTCCTTCCCGCTGCTGCGCCTTCCTAGGACGCGACCCAGCAGGCTGCGAAGCCGCCCTGCCCGCGACAACCTCGCTGCGAAGGGAGAACGTAAAAATCCTTTAAAACGATGAAATCCCACCTGCCCCGTGCCGTTAAAAAGGGGCTGGAGCCGGACGGGACGGGACGGGACGGGGTGGGGGGGAAGCAGGGGAG